TTTGGATAAGATGAAAGAAGAATTTGTGAACATTTGTGAAGTAACGTGCTGTCATTCTTTTTATGGGCTGAATATATATGCTTTGTTTCCAATGTTTCTGCCATAGAAACACATCCTCTAATCACTGCATTTTTTGGTGTTCCTTTCTTGCAACCTATGCCTTCAATGACTGTTATGTGATCCTAAATGACTAGTTATTTCAAAGTGTAGCATACACTTTAAAATAACAAACCATCTTTAAACCCTCTTTTTCCAGACTTATATTTACAAGGTTATTTGCTTGCACACACTTATATTGTTTTGTCAGACTCAGTGGTCTCTTTCGCTGTCCTCACTACTGGTCATGGTGCTGGGTCTGAACTTGCCTCTAGAGGCTGGGGATGTGACTCTTGCTGAATTTTTGCTGCTCTACTCTTACAATTTGAGGTTTGTATCCTTGTATGTTCTTGCAAGATATTGTTTTGATTACTCTCAAATCTCAAAGTTGCAGTGAGAGAATAAGCACTGAAAATAAATAGATTTGTTTTGAATGCAGCAATGTTTGGAAGCATTCAGTTTGAGGAGATGAATGAGAAGGTCAAAATAGTTGTTCTGAAAAATGATCAGTTTAGAGAAAATAACCTTTTCCTTAATGTAAGAGCAAAGAATTGTTGATTTTAAAGGGCAACCAATTTTACATCAATAAATGAAAATTATATTTTTACATAGCATGCAATTAACCAGTGTCACTTGCTGATTTGAAGAAAAAGATAGAGGCTAAACAATTAATATTTATATATGTATCTAATCATTTTATAATAATGAATGTTTTCATTTATAGATAGGAGCTATGATGATTTTTGAGTCTCATGCTTTATCAGAAAGGCAGCAGTACATGATGAAGTTACTCTGCTGTAGGCTGGTTAATTGCTGTGTTACAGCCCACATTAGATTTTATAATGTGTTTCCTCCCTGTTAAATGCCAGGTGTTGATTAAGGCAGGTGGCCTGACCAGCTGCCTGATCTGCTGAAACTACTTTTCTATCCTCCACTTTCTATATTAACCTAATGCCTTATGAAGTTAATAGCGTTGCTTGCTATTTATTTCCTGAGCCATTCTTCAAATAATAAAATTTTAAGCTAGATTGAAGTTTGCTTTTGTTTCCTCATGCTGATATATTTTTTTTCCTGCTGTAGGAAACCAAAATGAAAGATGCAAGTGTAGTACCATGCTCTTGTGTTACAGACATGTAACCATTTTAATTTCATGTTAGTGGAGAAACCTGTGGCCGTTGATTGTATAGCATTGCCTTAAAGTTGACAATTCTGTTATTCACTACAAATAACAGATCTTCAAGGGTAACGTAGAAGCAATTAAACTTATGTCATGTTATTAGGGGACTTAAGGTAGGGAATAGACTGAATTATCACTGGTGAGATGTGCTTTTAGAAGCAGACTTTTTGTTCTGAGGATTGAAAGATCCTCAATTGGATCAACTCAACCCTCTGGATTGACTTAACCCTCTGATAACTAACAGTTACATGTAAAAACATCTTGTGAACTGAACAGAAGGCCCTTTGAAATAGGAGGAGAAGATTGGAGAGAGGAGGAAGCAGCAAGGGAAGGAAAGAGCACCTGATATGCCCAGTTCAGTGAGAAGTGCTGGATGCCTTCTCGACACTTGGCATGAAAAACACAGGACTGATTCTTTCCAAAAGGGCAATAAATAGCAGTGAATTCATAGTATATCCATTGGCCCTGAACAGTGAGAGAAAGGAGGCAGGCAGTGTACTTGGATCAGCTTCTAAATTGTCCCGTGTCGTAGCTAATGTCTGGTTGTATTGCTCTGCTCCCTGCTGAGGGCTCATGTTGAGCTTATTATTTCTTCATTATATTATTATTCATTATACGTGGGCTACTTAAGTGTAGCTCTTGGTGGAGACTTGCAGGCAGCTCTTAGCTTTGCAGTATGCAGCTTTTGGTTGGCTCTCTAAAATAAGAAACATTCATGTTGGGAGTTTTTGGTGGCTATTATGATTATGATTATTATTATTATTTTTCCAGCTCTGGTATTTGCCTATCCTCCAATATACCAACTCTTAAAAATATTTTTCTTTTTGTTATTATCTATTAACACTGTAAACAATTCCAGTTTAACAGGACCTCTCTTGCTTTGCCTGTTAGTTCAGCTTCTCAGGCTGCTCACATTGAACTGCACACCTGGCAGCAGAGCTTTTTCATTTCCTTCTGTTTAATTATGGAACAGATCTCTTCTCTGGAGACTTGCAGTCTTTTTCAGACTTCATTTTATTTATTTATGTGTTTAATTTAGAGCATTTGTCACTTGAAAACAGACTTGTCTGTGTAGTTATCTTCAATTGTGTTAATTGTGTATAACATTCTGTAGATTTGTGGGGAATTGCTGAGTACTGTGCCTGGCTAATCACTTTAAAGAAGGAACATGGATKTCTAATAGGAAAATAGATAGGATCACTGTGTTCATTTGGAGAAAGTTGTACATACAGAGCACTAACTTCTGAATTGCAGTCCAGTGTTTGGTGGCTTTTTTACTTTTATGATACCTTGCTACAAATAGCCAAGTATTGCAATGTTATCCTCATGGCTTATTGCTATGAACTGCTTATTGCTAGCAGATATAGACAACTTTGAAGGAACTCACAGGGCAACAACGTTTACCAGGAAGCTGAGCAAGTGATTTATGAGGCAAAACTGTTTTCTTTTTCTTTGAGTTTTTCCCAGTTGCATCAGCTATTATTGTTGTTCTTACTGCATATTGCAGTAGCAAGCTTTGGTTAGTCATAAATTGACCATTACAGTATTCACTAGTATTCACCTATTTGTTCACATGTAGAAGAAATCACAGAGTCATAGAATCCTTCAGGTTGGAAGGGACCCACCGCCCTGGCAGCTTCACCAGTTACCTCTTCATTATATTAGCCRTAATTACCCATTTGCATTTATATCTCATCTAAAAGTGCAGTGGAGATAATGAAGCCCTCACGCTGACATTTTGCCCTTCTTAGTGCTCCTTGTTGCCCTTTGCTCATCTAACACCCCTCACTTTAGTGTAGTTTGGTCTTCCAAGCGATAGCACTTTTGGTGCCGTAGCTGCAGTGGTCACCCCTGAGGGCTAGACCTCTCTCTCCCTGCACTAGTAACCTGCAGYTCCAAGTTTGGGCTAAAAGTTAATAAACAAACGAAGAAAAACCCACACGCATCCCCAAGTAGCAATTTCAGGTCCTGTTTTCTGCTAGTTTATGACATGATGCTTTGAGTGTTGAGTGCAGTGTTGTAAAACAAGTTGTGCTCCCAATCTAATAGAGGCAATAAAACGAAAAGGACACCATCTATTTTGAGTTTCCTTTTAGCCTTCTTATTAGTCTTTTTACTGAGCTTAAATAAAGGACATATTTGCGAGAGAGGATTTTGTTTACTGACTATGTTAATTCCTGTTTGTAAGTTTGTGCAGCATCTATAATAAGAGTTTTGGAGACAAATTAAAGGCAAATACCCAAAGTCATCTTTTTCTCTACTCGGAGGTCATGGAAGGATCTCCATGCTCTGTCAGGCAGTAATTATGAAGTAGCTGCTAAGATCTCAGTTTGCCTCATTAGGAGGGTAGGACAGAACTTGCTGACCACAAGCCCTTTGCTGCGAGTTAAAGGTTTCTTGCTGATACCAGATGCTGATACCAGGAAAGCAGAGGCAGTGCAGAGATTGAAAAGCTGTGCAGGGGATTTTACATCCATTTTAAATTAGTGGTTATGTTATGCTTTATATAAACAAGAAATTTGCTTAAAGCTTCATATCTGTAACTATTAAATATTGAGAAAATTACAGAGTAGAAAATTGCTATAAAGCTGTTAACAGATAATATAACGTTTGTTCATCTGAACAGACATTTACAAGAAAATCATCTTTGTGTAGTTGATATGGATGAAGGAGAACTTTATTTATTTTGCAGTATTTGACAGCGCTTAAAATTTCCCTCAGCCATACTGTTCCAAGGCCATATGATACTGATTCATGTTCAGTCTGCCTGCAGTGTGGTCCCTTGGCTTGCATTCACCCCTGCTCGTAGCTTTTCTGGCATACTGACGTTAGTGATAACAAGAGGAAGCTTCATTTAATTGGCAGAAAAAGCCTTTAGGCAGCAACTTCTTGAAATACCTGAATAACTGAGGCTGAGGGGCAAGGAAACAAAACAAAAAAAAATAACTTGAAGTGAGGTCAACGCTATGTACGGGCACATATGGGAAATTGATTCTCTTTGTCCACTAAAATCTACATGGTTATATTAGTAAGAAATACTTGTTTCAGTATGTTTTCCTACTGTCTTCTGTCCAGAGCTTTAAGAGAAAGAATTTTCTACTCTTGTTCATGTTTCTGTTTCCCTCTGTATTCTCAGTAGTCCATGGCATAATTTGAAATTGATTTTTTTGCAGTTCTTCTGTGGGTTTTAAATTTGGGTGATAAATTGCATGTGCAAGATTAAGGGTAGCGCTTTGGCCTGTAGAATTTTTCTTCACTTTTTATAATATGTAAAATGGAAAACATCTTCTTGTATATACCTCTTGGTTTGGTGAGGTAAATAAGCTTGGAGGAAAAATGTAGCTTTACTCGTAAGCTAAGCAAACTTACTATTACTGTGTATAAATTCAATATTATCTATTGAAGTATTCAGATACATAATATCTCTTGTGGGAATGAGTCATTATAAGAAAGAATCAATAACACTTTCAAGAAGACTTTAAATCTGTACCCTSGATTTTACTAACTGGATGCATTTTCTATTTTTCTTACTTTCTGAATGTGAGAAAGAGGACTAAAGTAAACTGAACTCTTACTACCTGCTGTTAATTAAAATGCACATGCAGCATGCAGAGAATCTGTGATTTAACTAATCAGAATTTCACATGTTTATTTAGTGTGGGATGAGGTATTTGCTTGATTTTTGTCTGTATCATGTTTTTAAAGCTCTATCTTAAATCTGGCATAGGTCTCAAGCCTTCAGGAAGATGAACCAGTGATCCTTGTCAGAACAGATCAAACTGGAAGGGCATGGCCTGTGACAACAGCAGCTGAACCACTGGAGCCAAAAGGAGGGAGAAGAAAACGCCAGATGGTAAGTTTTACAAATTTGAATGAGTATAATTTTTGTATGGTTTTGTAGATTTACTTTTATGATGCCATAATTAATGTGTCTTACAATAATGTCAATAGGTTCCCTTCAGATGATGATTGTAATTAAGTTTTAGAGTACATATTTATTAGATGTGTATCAAGTTTATTTTCAGACTTATGTTTCCCTAGAGACCAATTTAGGGCTTATTTATATGCACATGCAGAGAATGTGAGTCTTTTTCMATGATCACAGTCTCTAACTAAATAGTCTCATAGCTAAATAGTTTGTATTTGATAGAGCATTTAAATAAAAAAGATTAACAGAGGTGAATATTTGCAAAATAAGATTTTTTTTATTGAGATAGATAGGAGAAGTTAATTCTTTTATTTTTCCTGATCAAAAATAATAATGATAGTACTAAAAATTATGTCATAATGTCTACATCATATGTTAACAAATATCACTAACAAAATATTTGTCTCCATGTATTCTTGGGACAGGCCTGTGGTCACTACATGAGGTGTTGGTTGGGTGTGTGGCTTGCCRTCTTTAGCTTGAGTTTGTCCCAAATAAGACTTTATCTAATGTATTTGAAAATGATCCTGTTTTGCGGGACAAGGACAAATGACACTGGGTGAACCTGTTATTTTTAGCATATTTGCTTGCCACAGAAAGTACATAAAGTAATATTTTGAACTTCTTGGATSTAGTATTTCTAGCAAGTATGTTCTTGATTAGTAGGACAGATCAGTTTTTAATACTGCCATGGAGGAATGAAAGGGACAAGCAGTAAAAGATTTGTTTGTCATCCTCCTGTTGTTTCTATTTTGGAAAAATATTGTCCCTGTTTTATTAATGACCACTTTCCATATGCTTCTTCAGCATTTAGTAGCAGTGTTGCCCTGAAGGATCAACTCTATTCTCTTGTGWACTCCATCTAGGATGGCAGGGCTTTATACAAGCTTTATCCAAGTTCTCATTATGTGTTTCACAAGTGTCTGTTTTTTTTTCTTTCTGGTTTAGCTGTCATGTGCCTTGGAAATTCAAAAGTTTTGTAAATAAGAGATTGTTTTGGAATGATCCATCCACATGAACTGATTCACTGTTTCAGTGAATTGCTGTATTTCTTTCCTGTGTTACTACACAGTTATTACAGTTCTTATAGCCTGAGRATATAAGGAATGTAGTAATTCTAGGAAAAAAACAGTATTGTTATTTAACATAGTGATATAATTGGAGGAAGTGGAAGTATGCTTCTTTCCTTAGGTCAGATGAAGCAAAAAAACCCAACTGCTCAAGATTTGTGCTTATCTTGGTGCTTCTTCATTCTCAGAGATATTGGAACTATGAAGATCTGAATTTCATACATGATCTTTTTCAGGTGGTTACTGTTTACTCTCAATTTGTTCATTTCCAGGTCCCTACTCATATAGATAAAGAAAGAGTCAGGTATTTCCAAGACGATGATCGTATGAGCCTGAAGGATTTAGTCAAAAATGAGAAGATGAGAACAGCAGAGGATCAAAAYGCACTTTTTATGCGTATGACATCAAAGGTAAGATGTAGTGTGTGGAGTTTTTATTAAGTGTTTTAGCTAGAAATACCAGGGCGGGACATAGAATCTCAGAACACTAGATACTTTGCTTTTTTGATGAGAATTCTGATCAAGTCTTAAATAAAATATAATGAAATTAAAATTCAGAAATTATCTTGTTAGATATTCTCAAAGTGATGGAAACCTGCATGTTGAGGCCAGGCTGTTTTCCGAGGTGGCCAGTGATAGGAAAAGAAACMATGGCCACAAACTGAAGCACTGGAAGTTCYGCCTGARTTTGAGGAAAAACTTCTTTCCTGTGAGGATAACGGAGCCCTGGGACAGGTTGTCCACGYAGGTTGTAGAGTCTCYATCCTTGGAGATACTTAAAAGCCTTTTGGGTAGACTGCTCTAGGTGCCCCTGCTCAAGCAGGAGATAGGACAAGATGCTCTCCAGAGGTCCCTTCCAACCTCAACCATTCTGTGATTGTTATGTTTGAAGGAAATAYGGTGCATTCATTTCCTCCATAGGGTCTTTTGACTGGTACTCTGCCAGATCCTGAATCTTTTGACATGAATGCTTGCAGTGCGTGTTGCACATCAGTAGGTTGCTGGTGCCCATAACTTGCTTTTCCCAAACTGCCATTAGTAACAGCAGCGTTTTCTTAATGTTTAGAGTTTTTCTTTTTCATCTTATAGTTACTAGAATTGAAGTAACTACCTGAAATTCCATCAAGGCATGCTGAGTAATGAGCTAATTTATGCTCACACCCCTGCCACAGATTTGCACATTATAGTTCAGAGAGGGTCAGCCCATGGATAGATACTGCAGTGCAAAATGAACAATTTATTTCTGTTACTCAAACTGAGCAATGAATGATGCTTCTTGTGCTTAATATACAAATCTTTGACAAAGAAGACTTCCAATAGCCAGGACTTGCAGTGTCCTCTATATCTGCCTTCCAAAAAGAAAAAAAAAAAGTCCCAAACAAAGATCCCAAATGTAGAATTTTGGTTCCAAGCACATCTAACCATGCAAACATTTACAAATGAATGAAAATRCAAGGACACAATACAAGTTGTGCTATCCTTATCGCATGGTAATAAGCATGAATATATCATAAAGGTATAAATAGAGGATTTAAGGAAGATAAGTGCATATCAAGTAAGAAYAGATTATTTGCATTAATATTCAATATAAGAAGTTCATAGGTATTGTTATGCATGGGTTGTTATTTACAGGGAATAACTGAGGAGCTGTTTCAAATTAACAGTGTCAGGAGAATGAGTTTTAGAAGAAATCTATTTAAAATGAGTCATTTTAAAAACAATCTTCGATTAAGGATGAATCATTAAAACCAAATTATCCTCACGTAGAGGTCTGAAGATCCAGGTGACAGCTATGTCATTCAGCTATAAACTGCTGAATGTAATTTATTTATCCTTGATCTGGGAAATAGAAGATGACAAATGTTAGAAATCTTTTAAAAGAAACTGAGGAATGAATGGTCAGTTTTTATTATAAAAGGAGTTTACAAGTGAGTTCCTCAGGAATCTTTTCTGTTCCATGTATTCACRAACTGATCTGGAAGAAGGGGTATTTTGTAAGTTGACATTTTGTTATGGTTGCATAACAATTTAAGGTAGTCAAACCTAGAGATAACCATAAATAATTTTAGAATTTGGCATACAAAGCTTAGTACAAAGTTTAGTATGTTTTATTTAGGGTGTTCTTTAAGGATAAAATTACTTTAATAAGCTTTGGGTCACGTGTTATCTGCTGAATTTCTTTTTTACTATTAGAAATTAGAATAGATTTCATGGGAAAAATAGCTCATTCTTCATCGTTATGGTCTTCCTCATGAAGATGGTGATTTTTCCTCATGCATTCCTTAAATTAAGGAACCCACCCCTTCGCTCCCTGAGTTTTCTGTGGAAAAGAGCAGGATTGGGAATGTGTTCACAGCRTTACGGGGTTAGTGTCAGTGCTAACGTGTTGACAGTGGTCTGAGAAAATACAAGTGCATTCAGCACAATATTTTTGTGTCTAATAGGAATTTTAGCAGCCATATATCTCTTACTAGTTTTAGTTTGGTAACATGGTGCAAGGATTTGACATTCACTAATTACTTTCTCTTTGTGTCTTCATTTGAGAAATTAAAAATTCTCAAAAATATTCACAACAGTGAGTCTGTCATCTTTCAGAAGAGCAGTAGGAGGCAACTGCTGAAAGCTATAAATGGTATCCTACCTAGGATGAGAAAAGGACCTCTCAGATTCTCTTGAGTGGTTTCATTCATCTTGTCAGTCTGAACCACTTTTATTGAGTGGGTATCATTCCTTAGGTGTGGCTATTGGTATGGAAGAAACTGTTCTTTGCAAACAAGTCAAAGGAAATGAAAGAAAAAGACAAAAAATGAAATACAGAATGTTTTTATATGATAGCTGTCCTATAATGATGTCAGCTGTGAGATTGCTTCTTCATTGCAATGTTTTTTGGTCTGATAACAACGTAATTTTCAGAGAAACGGCTGGTTGGTAGGTGGCTCCATCCTTGGATGGTTAGTTGGATGCCTCTTTGTGTCTGCATGGAAAACCAACGAAGATTAGTCTGAATTAACAGATTTGGTAATTTATGTTTGTTGTCTTTACTCGGCTGTTAGTCAACTAGACTTGGCAGCTTAAAATTGCTGGTTGTTCAGTCAAGAAAGAGAAGTTAGACTACAAACTATT